TATATAGTTTTTTTTTTTTTTTTTTTTTTTTCTGCAAGTACTATTTATAAACTTGAGTTTTCCCTTGAAAAGGGAATATGTTTACAAAAAGCATATAAGAAAGACTTAGAATAAGACACATGTGTAAGAAGAACTTTGTGATGATAGTTATGCTATAGCTGGAAATAGCGAAACCAAATGGATAAGTAGGATTCTTGGCCATTTTGAAGTCGTGTTGGTTGATGTATTTGTGAAGTACTTCTGTCCATTCCAATAAGTTTTGCTTTCATGACCACTTGAATTTCCTTAATCAGAAGCTGAACTGGTCTACTTGATGAATTATGCAGTCTTAAATTCCTTTCATGCCAAAGAGTGTAGCACACTGCTTGTAGCAAAAGTTTGCACACTAGCTTAACTCGCTTATTTGGAGAAGCCTGAAGGACCCACTGGAGGGAATCATCCAAAGAGAAAGGTGGATTTAGTGGTTGATGAGCAAAGAAAGACGTCCATACTTCTCTTGAGATCGAGCAGTGGAAAAACATGTGTGAGTGTGATTCATCTGCATTACCACAAAGGAGACAAACACTTGGGACATTCATACCCCACCCTAATAGCCTGTCCCTTGTAGGAAGTCTATTAAGGGTTACAATCCATGCCAAAAAAGCATGTTTTGGAATATTTGGGCTAAACCAAACTGATTTGAACCATGGAACTGTAGGAGGACCTGGATATAGAGATTCCCAAGTTTTTGTTGATGAGAATACCCCTGGAATCGAGTTAGGTGAATGGCGCCACTGAAAGAAGTCTTGCACCGAAGAATCCATAGTTGAAGAGACATCAGCTAAACTAGCTCGAAGGAACTGATTGATAGGGTGCCTCCCTCTTGGGATGCGCCAGCCATCAGTTGTTGTTGCTTCAGAAACCGTCGCCGTGTAACTAATCCCCGAGACCATAGGTCCCAACTCTCCACATATATCAAACAGAGGTCCTAAGCCTGTCCAGTTATCATGCCAGAAAAGTGCCCTTGTTCCAGACCGTACATTACATACCAGAAAAGCACGCGCGGTAGGTCTGAGATTCATGAGACTCCTCCAAATCCAAGAGCCAATGTTCTGAAAATCTGTGCCCCAAAACATTCTGGAGCCAATTAAATGTTCTCTTGCCCAAGCAACCCACAAAGACCCATTTGCTGCAAAAAGAAGCCAAATTAACTTTAAACCGTAGACTTGATTGGAGTCAGCCATTCTTCTCAAGCCTAATCCTCCTGATTTCTTTGGCGTGCAAACAGAATCCCATGAAACTTTGGCGCCTCGTGCTGAGTCTGGTGTACCATTCCAAAGGAATGCATTACACATTCTTTCCAAAGAATCAATGCAAGCTTTTGGAAGAGGGAAAACTGCTGCCCAAAAATTGAAAATTCCATATAAGACAGATTGAAGAAGCTGTAGCCTCCCGGCAAAAGATAGCCTCTTAACTGTCCAGGAATTGATCCGAGATCTAAATTTGTCCAAAAGGGGTTGATAATCTGGAGCTTTCAGCTTGTTGGGCATGAGAGGGAGCCCGAGATATTTGACCGGTAAAGAACCCTGAGTTAATCCAAATCTGCCTGCAAGTGACTGAGCAAAAATCAGGTTCCCACCATCAACAAATAAACACGACTTTGACAGACTTAATCCCAATCCAGAGACATGATGAAAATCAGTAAGCGTTTCAAGAATAGCAGCCAATGAACTCTCTGATCCATCAAAAAATATGAGCATGTCGTCCGCAAAACTGAGATGTGTGATAAGAGGGTTAGAGCACTTCGGATGAAGGGAAAAATGATTTGCCAATGCAGCTTGATCTAGCTTCTTTGACAGGATATCCATGACTAGTACGAATAGAGAGGAAGATAAAGAGTCCCCTTGTCTCAGACCTTTCTTCCCTGGAAAGAAACCCACTAGCTCGCCATTTAGACAAACCGAATAGTAAGGTGTCATATAGCAAAGCCGAATCCATTCAACAAAAATTTCTGGTAATTCAAGAGCCTTGAGAATATTGAGAAGAAACCTCCAGTCTACATTATCGTAAGCCTTTGTGATATCTATTTGTAGACATCCCCGCGTTAATTGTCCAGGTTTGTTGAATTTGTCGACAAGCTCAGCTGCTAAGAGAACATTTTCACAGAGCTGACGACCCTTAACAAAACCCACCTGATTTCTTTGAACTGCAAGGGGTGTGATGCACTTAAGTCTTTCACTGAGGATTTTTGATATCACTTTATACACTGTATTGCAGAGCGAGATTGGTCTGAAATCTGATAATTTTGCCACTCCCGGAGATTTTGGAACGAGAGCTATTACCGTTGCATTGAGCTGACGGGGCATTGACGGGTTTGTGAAGAAATCCTGAACTGCTAAAATCACATCTGGTCCTACCACACTCCAAGACGAACAGAAAAACTCAGATGTAAAACCGTCCGGTCCCGGTGCCTTGTTTTTTGGCAGAGCAAAAACAATGTTTTTAATTTCCTCAGCAGATGGGATTGAGCAAAGGGATGAAAACATGGAAGCTTCACATCTAAAAGGATGCAACTGTTGGATTTCCTGGACAGAAAGAGGGGCTACATCATCATTTTCAGAACCCAAAAGATTAGAGAAATATTCCGTGGCCATCTCCTTTACCGCTGATGGATCGTAAATTCTTGTTTCAGCCCCATCCAGCAAGTAAATGATTTTATTTCTTTGAAGATGCGCCTTAACATATTTGAAGAAGACTCCCGTGTTTGAATC